CTCAAAACTCTGACCACCACCCTCTACGTCTGACCCAATCAGTTGTGGAGAAGCGAATTCCCCATCCCACATCTATACGTCACAAAGGGGCAGGAAATGCCCCCAACTTCCAGCACTGATTGGGTCGGGAGGAGGGGGTGGCATTCAGAGATTTATGCGCATGTGGGCAAACTTAGATGAACTGGGTTCGCACTAAGCCCAGCCTGATCAGTACCAACTTCCCCGATGTATGAGCTTTATGTTTTTTATAGCAGCATGTTACAAATACACCTACCTATTGGAAGCCACACATTTTTCATTTTGTCATTTTAATCTGCTTTCTTACATAGGTGAATTGGACATATTAGAAATCATAAGTGGCCCGCACTGAATTGTAAATTGTTTAATGTTCTCTGTAAAGCAGAAGTCTGCAGAAGTCAGAGCTATAAAATGAGTAAAATAAACAAATATAGATAAGATGACAGTATATTTGAAATCTGCCATACATACAATCTTCCATACAGTAATGAAGTGTGTAAAATACCTTTCAAACAAAATAACGTGTTTGTAGATACTCAGTGGAAATTACAGTATATTCCAAAACTTTCAGGAGCTTCTCAGAATGGAATATATATGGCATAAAGTTCAGATCTCCCTGTGAAGCATGAAATATGCATCTAAAACTCTGTTTGTTACATGTAGTGGTAGAAATGTGTGTTTATAGGTGATATATAGTTTTGTGTTGAGAAGGCATTTATGCACATTTATAATCGTTATCAATTATTTTGAGTACACAATTATTTAGGTAACTGTTGGAATAGGCACTGAGTACATGTTGCTGGCAGGTTAGCTGTTCCATGATGTGTAAAATAAATGTGCTGTGATTGGTTCGGAGTTCAATTAGAGGAAGATCAATGGGAGAATTAAAGTTTCTTAAAGGAAAGGGGTATGCTCCATTAACGGTAAGCAGCAGCTGTCTGTAGCTCTCCATTAGTTGGTAATTGCCATGGTCTGGCTTGGATATTCCCCAAGGAGGATGTAATGCATTTATGTTGGCTACAATCTAGCTGTCATCTCTCTCCCTCACTCCCTCCCTTTTTTCTGACCTAGCTGTCAGTCTGCTCTAGTGATATGTGTGCTTTCTTAGAAATGATGTCATCCAGTATCTCCAATAAGAGCACACCATTAAATGTTTTATGGCTACAATGTTCAACACCAATAGCCTATTGAAGTCCATATTGCAGGTGCATTCCTACCACCTTCTTTAACTCCAATTTAAATAATCCCTTCTGGGATGTCTACAGCTCTACATCTAGAGAGAAGGCTTACCAGAAATTAAACTATTTGGGTGCTGGTCCCCCATATATTAAGGTTCCGCATATCCACTACAGCTGAGATTATAAACTGCATTGTAAATCATAGTAGATTATGACAGCCTGGAACCTCTGTTTTTTTTCATATAAGTGCTTAGTCACGGTTCTCTATAACTAAGCATGAACAAGCAAAACCTGTGAGAGGCTCTGTTGTCAGCAAAGGACGTACTTTGCCTTGGTTGACTTTGCAGCCGATGATTTTCAATGTCCTGCACTCTGATGATGCTGGTGGTACATTAGGGAAGTTCTAAGGCCTGATGATGCTGGTGGTACATTAGGGAAGTTCTAAGGCCTGGAGAAGTGTATACAGTATTTCTTTTTTTGTATTTAAATAATTGTTCATAAAGAATTTACAAATGGGGTCTTAGCATGGTCTAAGGCAGCGGTCTCAAAGTACCGGCCACTTGCGGCCTGCGAGCCGGTACTATGTGACCCACAGCCAGGTGACAAGTCAGGTACGCGGTCACGGACCGTAAAACTGACTTGCGGGAGCAGCGCTACACGGTCTGCATCTCGATCGGATGCGGACCGCAGAGCTGAGCCTCCCGGCGCTGAGATCCTTTCGGCCGGAGCTCAATTCTGAGCTCAGGCCAAAAAAAGGATCGATTAGTGAGATCTGCAGTAGACCTCACTAATCGCCACTAGAGCACCAGGGATCGATCGTGGCTCCTCACATCCTCCTCCCTGCATAAAGGTAAGCAGGAGAGGGGGCTGTGTATTTGATTTTTATTTCATTTTATACGTGGGGTGGATTAATATTTTATATGGGGGGTGTATTTTTTTTAATGTGTATGGGGGGGGGATACCATTACATGTGGTGTGCAGGCGTTTACATGCAGCGGCTGTCATTGATCATTAACTTGAATAGGTGACAGCTGCCACTTGTAAACACCATATTAGGGATTCCTACTGTAGGAAAACGCAAGTTCCTGACGTAGGAATCCCTAATTGCACCTACATTTAGAGATATGAATGGGGCTTTATTGTGTGTGTATTGGGGTCCGTAGTACCATACCGGATATAATTACATTTTATTTTGATGTATAAAATTTGGCAAACCGGCCCTCATGGGAGAAAAAAAATTGTCGAGTGGCCCCAGAGCAGGGGCGGACTGGGCCGGGGGGCAGGGTGGCAATTGCCCCCCGGGCCTCTCTGCTGCCTTCAAAAACGGCCGCTGCCCGCGGCCGTCAAGGGGCCCGCACTGGGCTAAAAGTTGCCAGTCAGCCCCTGCCCCAGAGTCAAATGAGTTTGAGACCCCTGGTCTAAGGTATGTTATCTAGCAGGGCTAATCTGAAAATGCGATAATCTATTAAACAAAAACTAGAGGAAATAAATGTACCTGTGTTTTGATGCATCACCTCTAGTATGACTGACTAGTTTGCTAAAACAGAAATTCTTGCTTCACATATATTGCTATTCACGTTCAAGCTAACTTCGTCAAAATGATCCCTTTCTGTCTAGACGCCTACTTTACCATGCAGATTGGCAAATACTTACAGTACATGTGCATAGCATAGCAATTTTTTATGGGTATATAGTGCCAATATTGGGGAAACTGGCACAGTTGAATGAGAGCTACAAAACCATGTCTGGGCAATGACTTGCACTATACAATGGAACTAATGTAAATGTCTACACTCAAGCTAAAGTAACATTCACACTTACAATATATGATTTCCTACAGACAGGAGCTAAGTCTGAGGTGTGAGATGGGCTCGGCCATCCACGGCCTTACAAATGTTTCTATACAACAATTTTGCATATGTTTGATTGCCCATAATCCAGATTAGCAAATGCCAGCATGGAGATAAGAAGGTAAGACTGGAAGAAAGATCCTAATTTTTCATCATGTAACAGGTGAAGACTTAAAGTTCTTTTCATGTTTTTTTTATCTTCATGTTTATTATGCTCATTAAAGTTATGATTGCTGTATAGTAAACATTAAGCATGTAGACATTGTAACTGGAAAATAGATACAAATCCATCAAAAGCAGTGGCCTGCCTAGTGTGAAAAGAGATGATGAGGCATGTTACCACATGTACTTTGTGTCTTGGTCCTAACAAAGGAGATGAAGACAGCGCCCGACAAACCTAAAGATACAAAAGGCTGGTACAATAAAGCCAGGGCAACATGTTATTTTGAATGCAAGATTTCATGTTTTTGTTTAAAAAAGCTCAAGGAAACATATACAATCCACAGACATGAAGAACGGATCTTGCGATGATAGCATAAATACATAACCAGACCCCTACGCTTGCATTGGAAATTAACCCTTAGCAGTCACCCTATCCTTATCCATATTCCTCTCCCTAAACCTAAAATGACTCTATTACAAAAATGAAAATTAACAAGTCCTGGCAAAAGAAGAGTACCTGTCCTGCCACCCTTGCCTCAGATCTTTACTCTCATGGAGCGTTACGACAGATAATTGGTTCTTCTGGGTGTGTCCAATGCTCGTGTCTTTCGCCACTTGGTGTGATTTTACCTGCCAACCCCTATGTCTTTAATGTTTCCCTGACTAACTATAATTTACCCCTTAGCCTCCTTACCCTGAAAATGCACTTATCAGGTGAAATGTCAGGACAATTAAAACAGATGGTGCCCATAGATAACTGTACCAAGATAACAAGTACCTGGCTAAAATTGTGGTACAGAAGCGCCTAGTGAACTACTCCAGCAAGGCTATTCTGAGAAGATTTTGAACCACTTAGTAGTATAAGATTAACCCCTATTAACTGTTTTATTTGCAGCACAATGAAACCAGTGTGTTACAAATGAGTCAGTGGTCAGCAAGAGGTTACATGATGCAACTAAGTATCAGGAGCCTTTATTGCTAATGAGAGAGCTTTAATTGTACCAGAAATAATCATGTTTAAAGGTAAGGACATGTGAACATACAATCTTTTTACAAAGATTCAATATAGAAATTAATAGGGATCACTCTGCATTGCAGGCAAGCACGGAGAAGGTAGTGATTTTAGAAATTGTTCCCCATGTTCCTGTGATGGAGCTGATTAATATCTATCTACTTTTGTGCTCAGGCATTCAGCGCTGCTCTGTAAAATTAACTGAACAACTTGAGAATCCACCTAAACCAATTAATCAGCTCAAATTTGCATAACTGGGCTAAAGCTTTTAGAATGTAAGCCCTCATGAGTAGGACCCTCCCAACCCTTTTCTCTAGAACTGTATTGTAACTGTTCTGTCTCCCTTTGTTTTGTAAAGTGTCGTGCAATCTATTGGAGCTGTATAAATCCTGTATAATAATAATAATAATATTAACATAATAATGCATAATTGACTACAAACCTAAAAGCATAATAATGCTATATCTTAAACATCTGTTATAACTTAAAATGTAAACTGCTGGCTTTGTGTTCAAATATTGAATGTGTAGAGCAGATATTTTAAATTATATTGCTTTATTACACAGTACTAGTTACTGTGAATTTGCCATATCATCTGCCAGACTTCTGTAATGTAGCATAAAGAAAGTCACCAAGTTCTGTTTCAGCAGCACTGGCAAGAGATTCAGGCAGCTCAGCATTACTGGGTGTGGTAGGATGGAGACACAACCTTCCCTCCTCCCTCATCTCTTCATAATAGAAGCATGGTCCCATAAGGAGGGGCAGTCACTGCATGATCCAGGCTGCCTTATAAAGCAGCTCGCTGGAGTCCCAGTCTTTCTTCTCAGCATCCCAGAATAAGCAATACAAAGCATCTTTCAAGAGTACTAGAGAGCAGAAAGCACCTCTCTCATCATGAGCCACTCTGGATTAAGATCCACATCATCCACCTCTTACCGCCGTACTTTTGGTGCTCCTCTTCTGTCCCCTATGTCCTACTCTTCTTCTTCTTCTTCTAGGTTCTCACCTTCCAGGCACTTTGCTAGCCCCTCGGCTTCCGCTAGCCGTTCCTCATCCTCAGCCTTCAGAGTAAGGTCCAGCACTCCAATCCGAGTCGGTTTGGACCGAGTGGACTTCTCAGCGGCTGAAGCCCTCAATCAAGAGTTCCTGACCACCCGCAGCAATGAGAAGGTTGAACTGCAGGAACTAAATGATCGCTTTGCCAGCTTCATAGAAAAGGTCCGATACCTAGAGCAGCAAAATGCAGTGCTAGTCACAGAGATCAACCAAGCCAGGTCCAAGGAACCCACCAGGGCAGCTGATCTGTGCCAGCAAGAGCTCAGGGAGCTCCGCAGACAGCTGGATGCCCTGGGCAAGGACAGGGACAACATTCAGGTGGAGAGAGACAACCTGGCAGATGACCTGAACCTGCTTAAGCAGAGGTGAGAGTCTCTAGGGTGGGCAGGGTGTGGGAATGGCACTGGGCTCTACAAAAAGACAGCAGTAGACCCAGCACCATGTGCTATGTATATTATTATTATGACTACAACTGATATTACTAAAATTATTCATGCAAAAAAAAAAGTAATTTCTGCTAGTTAGATGCATGAATTACAACTGTATGGACATCATCTCTTATGCTATTTTTCTGTACACTCCAGGTATGCTTGTGCCATAGACTGCTGGGATTTGATGTTCAACAACATCTGCACAAGTAAACTTTACCCAGCATGTTGTTTTGTTTTTAATCCTGATCCTTTTTCTATTCATATCTTAATTTTATACAGTCAGATTACCATGTTAAAGTATAACTCTAAGCAAGTACGTAAAAAAAGAAAACCTTTAAGTGATCTGATTATTCTTTAGGACAGCTTGCATAACTACCTAAAATTTCTACATAAAGGGCCATGTAGTACGCTAGTGATATGACCATTATTTTAGATTTTGACGTAAAACAAATCATCAATTTAGGTGTTCCGGCTATGTGTTTAGCATCTTGGATAGAAGTGGTCTGTAAGAAACAGATATGTAAACTGATATTAAGGATGCTTATTTGACTGACTCATGCTCATATTGACAGTCCATCATGTTCAGTCATTTCCTGGACAGTGTAATTGGTACAGATGTTCTCATGGTTAATAACACAAAGGATATTTTAGGCAATAGCTGTCTAGGTTAGAAGTTTAATTCCTAAATGCTGTATTTAAGACTGTAATGTGCCTACGTCTTAATTTTTTAGATATTTGCTAAAGTGTGTTTTGTATTTGTTGAATGAAAGAAAGGTCCCCTGGAGGTCAGATCAATTTCTAACAATTTATCATAATTAGATGTAGAAGTAGCTAGTGTAACTAGTAGTGCCCTATGGAGATGGGCGGAATTATCGTTTCCCAAAAGAGGCTGACATGTGCTTCCGTAAACAGTAGTGCTGTTTACTGCAAAACTAGTATAAAGCTAAGCATACACTGGTAGATTTTCGAACAAACTTTCACGAGAAAAATCTCATCAGAACATTCAGTAATGCCATCAGAGACATGACTAATGTGCAAAATTTTGTTTGATTTTAACATTTCAATCTTGGAAAATAATGGAGTCTCTCCAACAAAAAACACATTCATTGTTAGAATTTAGTTCTAAATTTTCCTTCCCATTCCTTCTAATATTTTCATCACTGAGGTCAATATCCATAGTTGATTTAACCCCATTAAGTATTAGAAAATGGACAGAACATTCTGAATATTATTTTTTTCAAATAAGGTTCTACTGTTTTTTAAGCCTGTGGTGTGTGCGCAAAAACTGAACACACACAGAAAAGTGCACTAGGGTGTGCCAACTGGTCCATCTCCCGAACAGATATGGCCCTTCCCTAACCCCCCCTAGGGTGTAAGGTTCCTGACAGGAGCAAGACACTCATGTCCACCTCGCCAAAACCAAGCAGACCCTTTCCTCATTGGTCGAAGCAGACACCTGGAAAAACATGTGCAACGGAAACAAAAATCAGTGTTTGTGGGTGCAAAAAGTAAGAGGAGGCATTAATCAGTAGTATCTGGCTTGGAAGCAGAAATGCTTAAACATGCTAATAATATACAGTAAGCTTTGCTTTGTAATCATATATTGTTTTTAAAAGGCATGAGAAGCATGTGTGTTTTATTAATGTTCCTTTAGATAGAACAGCGCTTATGTACATCGTTTAGTAGACGTGCATTGTAAGAGAACTTTCACTATGTTTGCATATCATTTCTAGGTTTTCTCTTAGTAGCATTTTACCAGAGTTCATGTATTCATGGTCCTAATACACAGGTTAATGTGATAATACCATAGGTGGACAACGATACTGTAATAAACTGCTAATAGTATTATCTGAATCAAAAACACAACTGTCTGGCACCCTTAGGCCAAAAATACTGATAATATAAAATGAATGTGGTCTTTCCTCTCCATGGTTTTCCAATCCTGGCACAAGGGTTGGGGACATTTGATGTGTAAACATTACTTTAATCACTATTGTTTCTTCACTAAATCATGCACCAATATAGTAATGTTGGTACAACAAACATTTTTTATTGTATTAAAAAATACTTTATTTTCTTTGATTGATCCTGCAATAAAAAAAAAGTGTAATCTAAATAACTTGCTACAAATGATCTGCTAAATTACATATTCTGATAACAGAGGAAATTGAACAACCGTATCACATCCCTGTCAGATCCTCCTGACAATGGTATATGATGTACTGTATAAGGGGGACATAGCGCCCCCGAGAGGTAAACCACTGACTGAGCAGAAACTTCCATTATTGAGGGTGTGGTTCTACAAGCATTTGGCAACAAGTGGAAGCTCACTGTTTGTATGTTGCCTTCCCTTCATCTGCCCCAATAGAGCTTGTATCATATATGGAAAATAAATCATGAATTTATAATTAGTAATAAATTATATTTTTTTACAACTGCATTTGCTTGGTAAACCTTTCACTTCATGCCTTACAACTTTTTTTGGGCTAGTTTAATTCCTCATCTAACTTTGAGAGCCATATTATAGCTAACACAAATAGTGCATCTGTGAAATGACCATCTTAACATGGAAGGCATAAATGTGATGTTGAGATGTTTCTATCGAGCTGTTGGAGAAGAGTTTTTCATAGGGAGGAGGTGCTTGGTTACCAGGCAGCCTTTATCCCTTTGTTCTCTTCTTTTTCCCAAGGAAACAAGCTATCCTGGGTCACCAAGTAAAACGCTTAACAGTGCTAGTGCAGTTTCCTTTCAAAATACAAAACAAATGACTTACGTTTGGTGGACAGCACAAGTGGGTATTATTTCATTGAAAGAGCTATGCTGTCCAGATATCCAGACACTAATCGGGTAATACAATTCCTTAATTACATCATAATTATATTTCATTCCTAATTGTGCTGGATTGTATTATCTGTTATCAATCTCAGATGGTGTCAGAGTATTATAGATGAGCTAAAACAAAGGCAGGTTACATGAAGCGAGGATGACAGACAAATGGTTGGCATGCATCCATTTCACTGTCTGTGTAGACACTCCTTTTGAGAAGTTCCACAGTTAAGAAAATCATCAGCGATTTTCAGTAATAGCTCATTGTCTGCCCTGCTGTGTTCAGTCTACCGCCAATAAGTGATTTGCATCATATGCATTACAATGTTTTTTTTAGTAATACAGCTTAAAAAAATAAACAAAAAATGATTTTTCTGATAATTTAATAACCCTTTTTAACCTGCTAATGTTTTTTAAAATTATTTTAATTGGATTTCATGTTTTCCCTGCCTGCCTGATGACATCACTGGGTTGCTGTGTTTCTCCAAGTCATGCAGGCAGATAATTAATTCCAATGAATGAAAGGAGCAGGCTAGGGACAATAAGTCTGGAGAGAAAAACGCTGGATGGTGGTGGATATCCATTAGCCAGGAAATGTGGTTGACTCTGTTTGACTGGCTGCAGCTTTTTATATACACTGTGAGAATCTCATTGTGTGGAGTAAAATCAGAGTGAGCTGTTTCAGTATAGGAGACAAGCCTGTTTAACTGTGCAAGGCTGAATGAAAGGCTGGAGTTCATCTTTAAAGAAAAGATTTGAAAAAGGCCTATTTTGGTGATAGGTATATCTACAGGTAGCAACAAAAAATATTTTTCAGCTCCCGGTACAACAATCTAAGCACCTGCAGGCTAAAAAATGACAGGTCAACTAAGCAGTTAAGTGACATTAAACCCTCAGATTTTTTAACATAAAACAATACTGTAATGTGCGACTTATTGTAATCCATGGTTGTTTCCCTTCTCTTTGCTGCTCTTCCTTTTAAATCTGTATCTCTTCTCATGCTGGGCAGAACTTCTGTTTTGCAGCAGACTGCCTTGTCTCTGAAATGGATACATGGTGTCTGTGTGCAGGTTTGCAACCTGAGCCAGCACTACAGGAAGAGGCACTCAGCTGCAAAGGGAAGTTCTCCCCCAGCATGAGAAGACATGAGGATTTAAAAGGAAGAAGGGAAACTACCATGGATTACAGTAAGGCGCACATTACAGTATTGTTTTATGTTAAAAAATCTGAGGGTTTAATGTCACTTTGACCCTTCAAATAAACACAGTAGCCATCACCACGTGTTTTAAAGGATATTGCATTTGAATGGCAATGTGCCAATAAATGGACTATTGCTTGATTACACTTTGGGGTGCTGGTGACGTTATTTCTCTTTCTGATTCTATCACGGTGCCATCCGTGGTCATTACAAGCACCCACCCGGCCACACGGGTCTTTTCTTTCGGTAAGGAGTGCAGCGAGATCTCTTGATTTTTAAAGGACATGTGCACCATTCACAGCTTCCACTGCTGGAATTCTAACCTTTAAAAATGTCTGTACCACTTTTTGCCATGCCCAAACAGGAATTTTACAGAGTTTACACTGGGATAGCTACATTAAAGATACAGAGTTCTTCATTTTGAGTTACAGCATTGAAAAATTCAGGCCAGTGATTTTTAATTATCATTTAATGAAAAAGAAAAGAAAAATGGTGCAAGAAATATTTGCAGAAACGATATTAGCAGCAGTAGAGCATTGTACTTTGTTAGTCATCGATCAGTGCAGAAACTCTGGAGTTTAGTGATACTCTGAGGAATAGATAAAGCTTAACAAAGAGCTAAGGGAACCTGAAAGTTTGCATCTTTAATAACTTAAAGTGCAACTTAAGCCAAACGTTTTTTTTTTTGTAGTTTTGGATAGAGTGGAGAGGGATTTAAACAGCTGTCAGATTTGAATTGTTGTCTATGTCCCCCTTAGGGAGATTCACCCATTCTATTTGTCCTGGTAACTGCTATCACTGAACATGAAAGAAAATCCCAACTTTTGGGTTGTCATCAGAAAACGAGTAGATGGGAAATCTTCTAATGGGAACACTAGTTATGGCGACCCTGCTGACCATCAGGGAGTTCCCTCTCTTTAGAGAGATTTCCACTCACTTCCTGTTGAGGCTAGCTGATAGAAAGTGAAGGCAAAAAAAAGTCAAAAGATGACAGGGGTTATAACACTCCCTTACTCTATCCAAAACTACTTTTTGACTTCAGTTCTACTTTAACTTAACCAATAAAGGGTACCAAATAAACACCTAACTTTCTTCAGAAAAGATATTAGAAAACAGACGTAAGCAACAATATAGACAATGAAACATCTTTATGGAAAGGCAGTGGTTCAAATGTCTTAAATAATTTTAGAGGCCAATACGAACACAATCATTGTTATTTATTAGCAAAGTGTGCAGGCCTGGGTGGTGTTCTCTCTTTGACACTACACAAAGGGATCCCAATGAAATGGGAATTTTTTTTATTGAAAATTCCATTCAAGTGGATGAAGGGCAGGCAACCGAGCAGCAATTATTCCTCTTATGTATTTCAGTAGAGGGCACACCTTATGGCATTGTACTGAGCTGCTCCTTAGCTCGTAAATCAGAGCAAGAGCTTGTGATTACCAAATGCCCGATGCCTCTAACCAGGGCCGTATTAAGATGGTTCTGTCGGTCGGATGGGAGGCAGGTCTCCCCTCACGGGAGCCCAGTTAGGAGCAAGCGGCTACCTAATATGCCTGATCAGAGAGCCAGCAATGCCTCTGCCTGATTGTGTTTGTCCCTGGCTGGCCCGGATTGCTCAGGCATACTGAGGCGATTCGGGCTGTCTGGGCCTATTTTCAGTGGTGGGCCTCGAGTAGCCCCTATGTTAATCTGACAGAATGTAAAATCATGACAATTGTAATGATGTTCCTAATCTAGCAACATTACATGCACCTATATTGTCAAACATGCCCATTCTAGAATGAAGAAATCTATTTCTGATTAAAACATTGTTGTGGGTGTAAAAATGAGAAGACATCCGAGTAATTTGATGTCATTATTCATTCATTTCTGTTTACAGGCTGGAAGAAGAAATGCACAAAAGAGAAGATGCAGAGAATAACCTTGTTCTATTCAGGAAGGTAAGCCAGGCATATCTTCGAACTTCCATTTATTAAACCAAGGTTATCTACCTAGCGGCTCCTAGATAGGTATAGAATAGGTATAGAAGTGAATTTGTTTTATATTCTTCTAAATATACTGCTGGCTTTATATGAGAAGTATAAGAAACTGCTCTCAGTGCCAACTCCTCTATATCTATTGTCACTGGTTACTTTGTATGCGATAACAAAACCTGGACATGTTAAAGGGGTTCTAGGTCATTTATGTGTTACATTTCATCACAGCTTGCCAACATTTATGCAGTTAAAAGGACAAAAAAAAACAAAATACTTTTATAGTGAAATATGGAAGGTTTGTTTGGTCCCATCTGCAGTTATTCCTGGATAAAACATGTTGGAAAATCATAATCATTATCAAACAAAATGTAATATTCTATGCAGTTTTGAAGTGCACATGTAGAGAGTAGGGATGTCCTGATACTAATATCGGTATCGGGGCCGTTACAGTGCATTTTCATGAGTACTTGTGAAAATGCCCCAATACATAGCACCTATGCCGGTGCTTTAAGTTTTTTAATAGGTTCGGGCTGCTTGTACAAGTGATCTGCTCGGATCACTTGTATAGCAGCCTGCTTGTCCGCCCTCCTGCTGGCCCCTCTCCTCCAAGGTCTGTCCCCCCATGGTCCACTCCCTCCCCACTTTGGTTTTCAAGGTCTTCCGCTCTTCTGGGGGACCAAGTACTACGGCAAAGCAGTTCAGGATGGAGAGCGGGGATCAGAGGGGAGAACAGCACTTCCTGTGTAAGCTGTCGCAACCTGAGCTGTACAGAAAATACAGCACAATGCTGTGCTGTATCTTCTGTATTGGACGGCAGGCTCATGAAGAGAGCTTGTCACCTCCGAATGATATCACATAGGGTCTTGTTAGCCAGTACGAATGCACTATATGTAACTCATACTGCCGTCCAGTGTAGCCCTGCGCTATGGATTTTGAATTTCACTCGGGAATTGCAAGCGTTGGTCAGTGCAGTCAGGGGACCATTCTGACCAATGAGAATCGCTTCTTAGCACAGACAAATACAGTTTTGGTGCAAATTATTTTTTGTATCAGGACAAGTATAATCATGGATTGAGCTATAGGTCTTCACAATTATAAAGAAACTGCCCTAAAATCATCAGTGTGTATTGCTTTAGAAAAAATGTCCCTTTAAGAAAAAGTATCGGTAATTGGTATCGGCAAGTACCTGAGGGAAAGTACTTGTACTTGGTCTTGAAAAATGGTATTGGGACATCCCTAGTAGAGAGATTGCTCCTGTAAGAGGTAGGTGATCCTTTTTTTTCTGCCATGCAGCAATGGAAAGGTTAAGCATACTGTATGCCAAGGCAACATTTAAAAAAAAAAAAGAAGCTAATTCAGCATTTCTCTGGAGTACATACACATTTGCCCATGTGTTATGCCTTTCAACATGCTGCAAGAACAGAAAGATAACTGTTGATGTAATAGAAATATTGTGTGCTCCACACTTCCTCTTTGACATGACAACGCAGCTCTGATGCATTACAGCGAACAACACAGACCCCATCCTTATCTCCCTCACTTCATCTCCATAACTCTTTTTTGTATTCAGGCAGAGACCACAGGAAGTTATCAGCTCATAAAGTTTACAAAAAAAACAGAAAGGGTTATTAGCTTTTACATACACTTTAAACTTACTACACATGTGCCACTGCTAGTGCTGAGCAAGGACCAATGCAAGTTGCGGTAAAAGAAAATGGGATGAAAGATATCGCTATCAGGTTGCCTACGACTGGTCCAAACAAGATATACTGTATACTGTAGATAAGCAGTTTACTGATAGGGTAGATTAATAATCTCTTTGTTGGTTATTATGCAGGACGTGGATGACGCAACTTTGTCTCGTCTAGAGCTTGAAAGAAAAATTGAGTCCCTAATGGATGAAATTGAATTCCTGAAGAAAATTCATGAGGAGGTATGGATGAGCCGTGATAATATAATAAAGAATCAGGCCTACATTGGTAAAAGCATCACAAACTAAAAATAGAACAATATCTCAGTTTTACAAAAAAATATGTATTCTTCAGACTCATTTGCCTGGTAAAATAGATTATTTAGAGACATATACACACAATTTTGATATAAATATGTATACACCTGAATGTTTATCAAAGAGTGCTATCAATGTGTAGAAAGGCAGAAGAAGTAGACTGATCGAATAATTGTTTTTTTTATTCTATACTTTTACTTGTACTAATAACTTCCATAAAACAGTTATGCTCGAGGGGTACATACAGTGGTGTATTTTGCTTTTGTCCTGCCCTAGGCAAGACTAAACTCGGTCACCCCCAATCTAAATTTGCCCCACCCCTTCCTGTTGAAGACATTTTGCTTAACCTGTCAGTTGCTGGATGCAGCGCGCATGCTGTATCCAGCTTCTGACAGGTTGTGCTATTAGCAAATCCCAGCAATACATTATACAGCAATGCAGAATAATATGAAGCTACTACATACTGTTTGTTGCTCCAGGGTCTCAGGTGGGCTGTGCTGGCTCTCAGGTGGCTGTGTGGCATCTCAGGTGGGCTCTATGTTGGGCTGTGGGGGGTCTTAGGTGGGCTATGCGGGCCCTAAGGTGGGCTATGCAGGCTCTAAAGTGGGCTGTGCGGGCTCTAAAGTGGGCTGTGCGGGCTCTAAAGTGGGCTGTGCTGGCTCTAAAGTGGGCTGTGCGGGCTCTATGGTGGGCTGTGCAGGGTTTATGGTGGGCTGTGCAGGGTCTTAGGTGAGCTGTGCGGGCTCTCAGGAGGGCTGTGCGGGCTCTATGGTGGACTCTGTGGTGGTCTTAGGAGGGCTGTGCGGCATGTCACCAGGGGTCCTGAGGCAGGCAGTGTGGTTCCATAGGAAAGAGGAGATGTGTGGGCCAGCACTGTATGCAGCATCGTGAGGTCTCCAGAAGACTGCTGTGAGTTCCCCAACAAGCACAGGGACGAGACCTCGTAAAAATGCCCAGTTTCGGCACCAATGTCAATACCGTTATCAGTGCCAATACCAGTAATGGTGGGTGAGGCTCTGCCAAAATATGCCCCTGGGTACATACATGATCAACAGGCATACCAGAAAAGCATCATTATTACTGATGCTAAAATCAAGTATGCTTTTAAGTACTGCAGTACAGACTATGCAGACAAGGGGAGTCAGCAAACATTGCAATTACGCTAACGACAGAAAGTTCATTCAATTTGCAGTCTGCCTCACCTGCCTCCCCTGACTGCACATCCCTGTTTCCCAAAGACAGCAATACAAATCAGCAAGGGTTTCTAACTCTTCCCCACTCTATCCATATTTAAAAAAGTTTTTGGTTAGAGATACACTTTATAAATGTCATGACAATGACTCTGGCATCTACATGCATTTCACAAGAACATAGGTCAACTGGTTCTCTTTAATATGCATTTTGTTTAGACCTGGGCTGTTGAACAATGTTTTTTTTAAATCAATTTGACAATGATGAGTAGTACTAGTACAGAAAGCCCAAATTATCCATTGCTACCAGACGTTTTAGGTTCTCAACATATGCAGTCTATGTATGTATGTATGTAAGAGTGGCGTAGTTTGTGGCAATTCATGATTTAAAAACTGTAAAGTGAACCTCAACTTTGACCAACATCACACATTCACCTTTACTGCATTCCCCTGCTGGTCATTCATATGCTGGAAGTGAAAACAAACATCGAATACTTCTGGGTATGGGCCTGGGGACACATGTGACATACTCACCTTCATCCCATGTGATAGTGCTGGCACCTAATGATTGGTTGCTCTGGAATCCATTGCTGTCCCATAAGAAACATACATTCTATACAATCTCTTACTGTGTATTAAATCCTTTTCAAATGTAGGAACTTCAAGACATGCAGGTGTCAGTGCAAGCTCCATCAGTTCGCCTGGAAATTGAAACAGCTACAAAGCAGCCGGATCTTACAGCTGCACTGCGAGATATTCGTAGCCAGTATGAGAGCATCGCTTCGAAGAATCTGCAAGAATCTGAGGACTGGTACAAATCCAAGGTATTAAGGGAAATTGAACATCAGAAATGGTGATAGACACAAACACGAGGTAGCACATGTTCTCATATATGACACAAAGACATATATAACATGTATGAACAAAGAAAGTGGTCCACAGAAACTCTACTGTATATGACTGGTTAAAGTTCATTGGTAGAAAAGTGCCCCATATGATCATTTTAAAATGATGTCAACCGTGAGGTGATTGCTTAAAATAAACCTGCACTCACGAAATATGTAGGCTGCCATTGCTGAACTTTTCGTTTGACTTCAATATTTGAACCCTTGCTTGAGATCACTAAGAAATCTAGAGATAGCCAAGCAACTGGAAGGGCCAGCAATGACACACTCAATATTTTGTTCAATCTTAGTACTGGTTTCCTGCAAAAACTAAAGAAGTTGTAAAGACCCAGTGTATACTATCCTATTAAAACATCACAACTTTAATAGGAGCATATACTAGAGTTGAGTTTGATAATACAATCAAAGCTTGCTTGCAAAAAATCCCTTTTACGTAGTGAGTGCGGCCTTCCGTCTGCCTATCACTTCCATCAACTTCCTGGATTCCCAGTGTGCTTTGTGTCTATTTCCCTGCTGCTTGATGTGATGCATTTCTCAAGACTACATATCCCTTCCAGCAATCAATGATGTTACATTGTTCAGATTTGGAGTTGTAGTTCAGACGGAAGGCTTAGTTATAGTGGCGACACAAGGAATTGCATATTCACAGGCCTGAGTGAAATTGTGTCAGTGCATTGAGGAAGAACTTCCTATGGGCATCTTTACAAATGTCTAGATAGTTATGTTATTAGGAGAAGGATAGAACTTATGGAAATTCTGTATAGAAATTCATATTGATTTTGAGTTTTTGACCATAAATTACCCTTTAGGGCCTTATAGTTTAAATGTTTGACAGCATAGATCATCTCAAACCACAGACATTGTGTGAATCTGTAGCGTAGTGATCACTAATGGGCAAGAAACAATAATTAGCATTCATCTTTTCATAGTACCAATTATGCACTCCATCAGTATGTTAGTTATCACGACAGTTTTCGTTTTTTTGATCACTTTAGGCTCTCTGGAGGCTCTGAGTAGACAATAGTAGTGGTGACATTAGTGACCACCTCAAAGTCATTCTTATTTTTCAAATACTTTGTAGAATTCATATTTATATTAAATAAATATATTTTTGTGTATTTCTATGGAACAGTTTGCTGATCTGTCAGATGCTGCAACCCGCAATAATGAAGCACTGCGTCATGCCAAGCAGGAGATGAATGACTCACGACGACAGATCCACAGTTTGACTTCTGAGATTGATGGGATGAAAGGAACAGTAAGTAATGTTTTGATAGAAATTCTAAACTGTGCTGTTTATGGTGACTAAAGATATTCACAAAACGAAGTACCCAAAGCCTTGATGATGGATATCTTGTCGCTGATATGACCTGTCATCCTTTGCAGAATGAAGGTCTGCTGCGTCAGATGAAGTTCATGGAGGAACAGTTTGGGGCTGAAGCAGCAAATTACCAGGATAATATTGCACGGCTAGAACAGGAGGTGCAGCATATGAAGGAAGAAATGTCACGTCACTTAAGGGAATACCAAGACCTGCTCAATGTTAAAATGGCGTTAGATATTGAGATTGCAACCTACAGAAAACTTCTTGAAGGAGAAGAGAGCAGGTGAGATGAAATGCACACTGGATTATGACTGGGGATGCATTGATACCGATAATTTTTTTCGGTACTCGCCGATATCAATTACCGAGTAACGGAAGTCCCATTCAGGAAGCCAGGTGGCGTGTAATGACTCGCCACCTGGCTTCCTGATTAGCCGGGAAGCATGGAAAGACTTGCCACCCGGCTTCCCGATTAACAAGAAAGTCCCCTATTAACTTAGTATGTGCAGCCTGTCACCCGCAGGGCCTCTTCAGCGAGAAGGCGGCCTTCCTCCGGTACCCAGCCAGAGCCGTCTGGCCGGCCTATCAGGAAGCCAGGCGCCGTGTAAGGACGCAACGCCCTGCTTTCTGATTGGCCAGGAGGCCGGCTCCATGCTCCCTCGTCATGGGATGACGAGGGAGCATGAAGCCAGCTTCCCGGCCAATCAGAAAGCAGGGCGTCGCGTCCTTGCACGGCTTCCTGATTGGCCGGCCAGACAGCTCCGGCTGGGTACAGGGGGAAGCTGGCTTCATGCTCCCTCGTCATCCCATGAAGTACTTGTGCTAGGTATCGGAGCATTTGGGCGAGTACGAGTAGTCGCCCAAATACTCGGAATCGGCACCGATATCGATACTAGTATTGGTGCATCCCTAATTATGGCCTTATGTTTCCTCTACTGGCGTATTATGTCTACTTATGACCAGGGCCGGATTAAGAGCATCATGAGCCTGGTGCTGAGGATTTTAGTTGGCCTTTTTAGGGAAATACATAAAAAGAATTACCATTAAAGTGCATTAACAAAACGCTGAATCGCACACAGAATAAACAGGCTTTTTCACTGAACCCCAAAATCACCTAAATGAGACAAACTGGTAGACTAAAATGAAACTACACATTCACTTTTTGTGCTTTTTTTGCTTGCAAATTTGTCAATTGTAGAATTGACCAATTACAGTGCAAGCACATTTTATATAAAATATATAGAAAAAAATTACATGAACGTTCTGCCGAGTCCTGCGACATATGTTGTGGCTGCTGATGGGTTGAAGGTGGCAAAAATCCTGTGTAATAAAATTAGTTAGGAGGCCTTACACTTACCACCAATGTAATGGAAGTATTCTCACTGGCCACCAATGTAACAGAGATGCTTACACTGACCACCAATGTAACAGAAGTATTCTCACTGACCACGAATGTAACGGAGGTATATACACTGACCACCAATGTAACGGAAGTATTCACACTGACCAGCAATGTAACGGAGGTATTCACACTGACCAGTGCAGATGAATACGCGCACTCAGCTGAACCCAACCTGCCTGTTTATAGCACATTATTTAATTAGCTAAATCAAGCCCTGTCTATTATTACCCCCAATCCTCCAGGAGGCCACCTGTGACCCTTGTCACCCCTCTGCTCCCACATCTCTGCTCTGGTCCCACTGTCCCCCACATCCCCTCTGCTCCCACTCTTCCCCACATCCCCTCTGCTCCCACTCTCCCCAAACATCCCCCTCATCATCCCTCTTTGCCTGCATACAATTGTCCCTCTTGTGTATCTCACCTTCTGGATGGCAGCCGGGTGATCTCCCCCTTCTCAAACAGGATTATTTTTATTGTTTGCATGTTATCACAGACATTTCACACAATTGATCACCCCACACAATTGGGAGACCAACATAACCCCTTAAAGAAATGCTGACATTGTGAAAACTAAATCCAGCTTTCAGACAGTATTACTGGCTTTGTCTGCTCACTGTCAGACTATGAAAGGGTTATGAATAATTATCTAATCTGTATTGCTGTACTAGACCACAAATGCATCAATCGTAGACACAATCTCTTGTCACCTTCTTCTTCATATAGTGTGCGTGCGTGCGTATAAAATTTCCTTTTAGATGAACCTGTACTCCTCTATTTTGAGCTTTTGAAGCTTAAAGTCCTACCAAAAAGTGGACACCACATGTTTGTGATTACCTATTACCACCATCCAGTAAAGCATTTTTAGTGCCTTTCTCACTCAATTCTATTCTGTTACAGGGGCCTGCCCCATTCTGGCTTAATAGCTAAGCCCTGACAATTACCATTCAACTGCCCAATATGAACGTCCAGTAAGACTGGTAAAGGCATTCTGATTGGACAGGGGGCTGGTTTAAATTTGTCAAACATGTAGGCACCAGTAAAGTTGAAACTAAATCAGAGCAAGGACCTTTACTTTTAAAAGGTAAAACAAATGAATATTCACCGGCTTGAGTGAAATTGTGTCAGTGCATTGAGGAAGAACTTCCTATGGGCATCTTTACAAATGTCTAGATAGTTATGTTATTAGGAGAAGGATAGAACTTATGGAAATTCTGTATAGAAATTCATATTGATTTTGAGTTGTTGACCATAGATACCATTTAGGGTCTTATAGTTTAAATGTTTGTCAACATAGATCATCTCAAACCACAGGCATTGTGTGAATCTGTAGCGAAGCAGCAATGATACCTAAATGGTTGCTATAGGCTACTACACACTAGAGACATTTGTACTGTTATTGAATACATCCAAATATGTAAGTAGAAATTGATAGTGAACTGTATATCAATAATTATTTATCATACGTATAAAAGAAATGTGTCTTCCAACAATATGTCTTGTATTTCAGGATTACTATCCCCATGCACTCCATGGCTTCTCTTAGTATTAAAAGTCCAGGTTAGTAATTCCAATTACACTATTACCTTTTGCCTTTCACATCTCCACATACATTGAAATGTCTACGATATGCAAGTTTGTGTATATGTGTTTGATTAATTCAAAAATGATGCTACTCAAACCAGTAAAATAGATCTAACTGCTATGAAATAATTATTTAGATAATTTGTCAATAACAAAAATTGAAAGTAGGCATTGACTGGACTCGACAAAGAGAGAGAGGGAGTGGACAACTAAAGAAAGATGCATTTAATTGATTTTACAGAAAGGCCAAGACAGCCATTTTTTAACAGCTGAACTCCGACACAAAAACTTTACATATATTCCTCAATATCCACAATGGATATACATCCAGATTGTGTGCCCCCATTACATACCAGATATTACTTAATACTGTTTTACATATAGCCTGTACAGAGAGCAGGGCTGCGGGAGGTGTCCAGCAGGTCCACCCTCTACAGGCTGCCTGCAGAAAACTACAGGAGGGTGGATACAAGACAAGGATGCACAAGGAGAGAGAGCAGCACTGTCTGGCCTTCACACAGGAAAAGTTCTACTCTGGGTTACTGCACAGATCTGGAAGAAATACACAAAGCACACCAAGATGCACATCAATGCAACTAATTACGCAGGTCAATGCATTTGAACATGCGTTAATGTGCATTTGCATTGCTAGGCTGGCTTCACACCTATGCATTCAAAGACAAAAGGTGCATGTGCATACTATAACACACCACAGGACATTGAACAGGTGTGAAGGAGGCCTTAATTCACATTCAGATGTGTTGCCGTGCATTGTAAGAATGTTGTACAGCCCACATGGGGTTGTGGGTTGACAGCTTTTTTTTTTTATGCATTTCCATTTTTTCCTTTCAAAAACACATCTTGCAAAACCGAGCACGTGTAAAAGGAGACTTGTTCTGAGGGAACTTTTCAAATTGCTAATTTCTTTGCTATTTCTGACTTCACTACTTTGCGAGTTACTAATGAAGAGCAAGCACGCAGCCAGTCACTTCGGTACTCTCCTAATCTGCACAGCAGAATGTTTGCCACATTTTAGCAAATGTTAGTTTGCATCAACTTACCTTTCCCTGTTCAGAAGAAATGAATGTTTGTTTTACAATATCTTTTCTTAAATCATCTGGGAATGAGAACGTCTGCCTTCAATAGTACAAGCTGGGCTAATTAAACATGGTTATAATAAAAAAAAAAAAAAAAAAAAAAGGGGGAACATCATTTGCATTTTTTTAAAGCGTTT